CAGAGATAGTTAGCGTCAGACTTTGTGTACAATTACCCCATATTCCAGACGGCTCCGATATCATGGCCAAAAGCTATGCCAGCCTGTACCTTGAACTCTGCGTTTCTGTGGCCTAAATGTTTCTTCTACCTAGGATACTTCTAGAATCTTCTTAGAATAATATTGTTAGACATACCGAAGACCACATTTAGTCACATCGAAGCTGCATTCATTATTATTTCATAGGTAAGCTATGTGGTGAAATCCCCTCAAATAACAAAGAGCAAACCAACCTGGATTGAAACGGGGTATTCCAACGCGCAATCGAAATAGGATTGAGTCCAAAAGCAAACACCGAGCAAATATCCAACCAAGTTCAGAAAAACAAAGACTGGGCAACTCATTACTAAATTTCATAACAGCCGAAAGTGTCGTCAAATAAACTTCAGACAACTCAAAACGCCACTCCGATACTAGTGGCCTCGTGGTACCGCATATGTCCATTATCGTGATACGAAGAGAGCTGATGGTGCTGCTGCTGGCCCTCAAAGATGGTCGGGTAACAGACACCAGAGTCAACATCTTTTTCTGCAGGAGACGAAGAGACCTGGAATGAGGTGCGGGGAGTGATAGCGCTAGAGAAGGCACTAGAGATGGAGCTATTGTTCCGTGCTCTTGGGCCGCCGGTGATGGTCGTGGTAGTCGATGCAACTGTGGTCCCGCTCAGCGTGCGGGCCCGCTCCCAATTAAACCCGTTCTCGCCGGGTAAGAAGGATTGCTTCGGGGGTGTAGAGGGCTTGATGGAGGTAGGGAACATCCATTGAGTTACGCGGTTGGAAAGAGAGGAGGGGGCTGAATCGATTGTGTCCCGGTTCTCGGGGTGTGGGATGGAGGGACGGCGTGGTGATGAGAAATGTGATGGCACCGTTCGTGAGCTGGCCGACGAAGGACTGTTCTTGGACGTCGCTGAGTACTTGGATGGGGATGTATCTGGTGATTCTGTGTACAGTCTCTTGGGTGCAGGTGGAGTTCGAGGTACTCTTCCCCAGGGTTGGTTGGTGTTTGTGTCGTTTGACCATGGGGTGTTCGATGCAAGTGTGGTCCCTTCTGATTTTGACCTGTTGTGGACTGGGGATGCTGCCTGAGCTTCTGGAAGAGGTGTTTCGACGCGAGTGACCTTGGAGAAATGCGGAACCAGAGTACTAGTGGTGCGAACGGGCTCTTCGACGCGGAGAGTCTCCACGTTTCCAAGTGATCGGCGTTTCTGTGATCCAACTGGTTTGCGAGAGACTGCAAATGCATTTTGGGAATATCGGTCTCGAACGCCGGTTGAGGTCGTGAGGGCACGAGGGGGCACTGGCAGCGTCTTGCGCTGTGGCTCCTCGTTTAGTTGGAAGGCTTCGAATGAAGGTAGGTCAGATAATCGATTGCCTGATCGATGAATGCGGAGGTCCAATGGTTGATATGTTGGTGGCGGGGGTGGATGGAATGACTGTGGTCGGTGATCGTGGAAGGATTGCACTCTGCGAAAGTCTGAAGGTGCGCCGATCTTCAACGGAGTGGTTGGGGATCGTTTCAAAGACATGCTTGCCCGGTTAGAGGCTCGCGAGGCCAAGTTCCGGCTGTCGTTGAACCATGATGACAATGAGTTCCGATGTTGATGGACACTTGGGCTGGGGAGGTCATTGTATACCACCAGCTTCATGGGTGGGACAAGGTGTGGTTGAGTGTGGCATATTTTCATCTCCCGTTCAACGCCTGCGATGTATATTAGTCGATTAATTCTAGAGTTTTGATGTAGCTGAGACAAATACCGTTCCCAGCTTGTTTAGGTTGACAACCATCCTCGCCTGGTAGACATGTCAAGCATGATCGTATCCAACCAGTGAATAACGACCCGGCTTTCTCCAAAGCCAGCATGATGGCGACCAGCGCGTCAAGAAATCAATCCATCACCTTCAAGGGGAGGAAAAGAGAGAAACAAAGCAAAGGACAATCCAGTTGCACAAGCAGATCAGCCCCTCAGACGGGATGGGAACATCCCATCCTATAAGCCCAAACATGAGCGCCTTACCCAACTCGTCCAGGTACACACCATCATGGGCACTAATAACCGGGGGCTATGCCCAGTAAAGAAATACATCCTGACGCCAGCGCACTTAGCACCATTGATCGTCGGTAACGGAGCTGATTGAAGCACTGGGATTCGTTGGCGCCCTGTGGAGTTATCACATCTGTGCTTATTCTTTCAAGCTATTCCCTGTCAAGCCTATCAAGTACTTTTTTGTGATGAGAAAGTTGGGCGCTTACGGAAATTGAAAGGATAATTCTATTTCCTTGGAATCTCTTGGAATCTCTTGAAAGTTTCATAATGTTTTGTATTCATTCTTCTGTTTCTTGAAGGATATATACAGAACACGGATAAGAATATGTCGGACTGAGAATGAGTAAATGAATAAATAAAGTAGATGATCATAATCTAGGATGCATCGAAAGGCAAAATACACTACAGAATGCGCTATTTGCCCCATACATTGTCCTGTTCTAAACCGTCGTAGGCCCATTTGGGCCGATCTTCGTCATGATCAGACTCTGGCTGTGTCGAGTTGGCTTCAGCCTCCTCTTCGATTGGCTCTCCGGAGATTGTGCTGGAAATTGGAGCCAGGGTTAATAACTTTGTTCTAAGATCTCATGGGCAGTTGCCCGCCAATGGTTTGGGAACTTACGAGAATCGTCGAGGTTCAGGCTCTGCCCAAGCAGAGCCATACGCTCGCTGTATTTGAGCACGGTCTTCTTCCTCGGCTTCTGTATTCTCCACAACAAGGTCAACCAGCTGGCTGCGCTGCGTACCACTAGAACTGGCGGAGTTGACGTTTCGCTGCAAGGGACCGGGAGTCGCCGAGCTTGGTCCAGGTTTATTGGACTTCGGCTTGGAACTTTTCTTGCTCTCGCCATCTGCCGCGCGACTTTTCCTGTGCCTGCGGGCCTTTTTGACATCTGCCCCTCGGTTTGAATCTTGATTTCTCCGTGAGGGTGGCAGCCGTTGGTCCCTTGGCACCTCGTTGGCGGTAATCACCGGGTACTATGCGCGGTCAGCATCGCAATCATAACGAACACTCTGCACCAGCATGACTTACATTCCAGTCTCCAAATTCCAATGCGCGAGCATTGAGGAATAGTCGCTCATCCTCGTCGTCCATTGCAGTTTCATCGATATCACTATAGGATCGGTATCTATCTCTTGATGATTGACTAGCCCGTTCAACCCTGGGGCCGTGCTCACTGTGTTCGCCGCCCAACAGAGGCGTGCGGCTGTTGGCTTCACCGGGTTTGGGGATCCAATATTTTGCCTTGCCTCCACGCTCATACCTCATGCCGGCCATTACTCGCTTGACGCGCGACCCTGACTCCATATGCGGGATGATATTATCACCCGAATCGAAGACCCGGTATCCGTAATTCTTACCACGAATAGTGAACTTGGTGTCTTCAACCAAATCCCGCCCGCCAAAGGCGTCTCGCAGCGCGTATTTCACGGGCATGCGTGCAGCCGAGACGGTCGGGTCCGCATAATCGTGCCACGAAAATGCGTACCAGTGAGCCATGGCGAATAATGGCATCTCAAAGCAGATGAGACTGTCCTGAATGGCTGCTGCAAGGTTGTCGGGGGTGTATCCAGCAACATTACCAAGCGCCCCCAGCCACTGCAGGATTGACAAGAAGAAGCCTTGCCAATATGAGGCAAAAATAATGAGTTTGACGCATAGGAATTTGGGGACTGGGCGGAATGGTGTGAGATCGTCATGCAGGCACACCCAGAACATGGCAAGGGAGTAGAGACTGATCGTAACGCTGACGTTATATATGATACCTGTCCAGAGGTATCCAGAGCCCAGCCCAATATAGCCCTCTTGATAAGTGTCCGTTGCCTTCATTATGATGGAGGCGAGAGCTAGAATGGGCTTCAACCAAACGTACTGCAGGATACCACGTTTGACAGCGAGAAATGTGTGAGGGTCCGAGATATCAATCTTCGGGAGGAAATGGTTGAGAGGCCAAGCATGGGAGATGGGAGGGCGGCCATGGGCCATGATAATCACGGCCCGCTCGCCGCCGAGGAAGTTGATGAGGAGCTGGAAGAAGGTATAGATTGTGAATGCCTGCCAATGCCATCCGTTAGTACGGGTCTGTCCGACAATTGACCAGGACCCTACATACCTCGTAGATGTCGCGAACAGGAGCCAGAAATTGAGCCGCCCTTAGCGATATGATGCTCGTCCATGATGATACTGCGAAAATCGGGACCCTAAGCTCTATCAGCACTGCTCTTTGTCCCCGCCCCCTGAGCTGATACTTTAGCCGATACTGACATCAACAATATGCGCACCACGTAGCGTTGGAGCAAGGGTTTCCGGTAGTTTTTGCTAGATATAAGGTGAGCTGTGGTTCTGAAATTGGGACGGTATAAGGTCGTACGCTTGAAACCATATGGAGCTGCGATTGGAGACAACATGTTAGTCTGGGAGTCTACAACGATCGCGCCCTTGAGTTAGGATACACAAGATAGATTAGACTCACACAAAGGACAATAGAGAGGAGACCAAAGCCGAGACACCTGTGACAATGATAATGGCGCGTGCCAGGCTGGAGCCTGTTCCTCCGCCAGCTGCAGTCGTCATGATTGCTGAAAGTTAGGGACAAGCACGGTTTGGGGACCGATTTCTGCCTGCGGAGATAATCCAGCTCATTCCGCGGAGTCGATAGAGGGGCAAAACATGTTGGTCGAGACCAAAATGGGGGGAAATCAAGCTGGAGAAATGTTGGTTCGGAATGAGGAGGCGTGTTGTCCGATGACGATCTTCTCGTGACACCGCTCTCAGACTTCCTAAACAAAGTCCTCACCTTGCGACTTCCAGGATATTTGACCCAGCCAGTTTGGTGTCGATGATTGAGAGGTCAATTTTGACTCGTCATTCGCGTTCTATCGCGCTGACGCTGTCCATGTTGGTCGGTGGAGAGAGATGGGTAGTACAAGCTTGACATCGGCCTTCCTGACGCCGGATCCAAGCTTCAATTGGTATGGAATAATCGCTGCTTGTGCCATATCTGTTGTACTAATATATTTAGGTTCTTCCTCTTGGAGCTGATTGTCTCTTGCATTCTGTAAGTTTGCGCCGTTCAACGCGGCTGGATTACGCTAATCACTGGCATAGCGCTCTGTTCTTTTTACTCTACTTCAATCGGCTTTTCGCAAACCTCATCTCTTACGCAATTCGAGCATATACCTGGCATTACTACCGCGCATATGTTGATATAAACGCACTTCAAGTCTCCCTACTTGGTGGGAGAATCTTCTTCAAGGGCATTCGGTACCACGGCGTGAACGAGACGATCTTCATCCATGGAGGATTTATAACATGGCGCTATTGGACCCGTGCAGTCGAGCGAAATGACTTGACAGGAATTCGACGCAAGGCAGGCCTTGCTCATCATACCCCGAGGGAAGGACATGCGCGACCCCCGCGCGATGGCACAGACGACAGTCTTGGGGAGCAAGGTGGCATGGGAAAGACGACCGAATTGCCGTGCCGGATTACCATCAACACCTATGGCCTTGAGTGGTTCATCTACAACCGGACTCCCGCCTATGACAGTATCCTTGCTGGCTTTGGATACTCCCCCAAAAACGTTGATTTAGACGACGACATTCCAACCTCCCCAGAGTCTCACCGGACGGCAGAAGATGGCAACGCAGGCGACGCCTTCGATCTCGAAGATACGCCTGGCCATCAGCCAGCTGTCAAACCTTTGTCAGAGCGCAGCGTGAGTGAGAGAGGCGGGGTTGCGTCACAGAGGACTACTACCCATGAATCAGAACTATCGGATCCTGTATCCAACATGTTACAACTCCTGCCTGTAAAGCTGGATTGTCAGAGAGGCGCCATTGTCATGGGAAACGAGCATACCCGATCTGTATTGACAACGACATTCGACACTGGGACGGGTACCATCGATGCTTCCAATTCGGGCCCTCTTGATTTGTATCGTCAAATATTTTCATTTCAACTCAATAATCCAGTGATTCAAATGCGGCCGAACCCGGACTTCAAGCAGAACCAGTCGGCGACTGCCAAAGATCTAGCTGCGGCGCAAGAGAATGAGCCCGAATCGAAGAAAAAACCGCAGAATATCTTCAACTATCAATTCCAGAGGCGCAGAGTATGGCACAGCATTCGAGACTTGGTCCCATATTTCCAGACGTCAGTCGAATCGTTCCATGACGGTGGCAGGCACACCAATAGTATGCCGAGGAGCCAGGCGGAGTTTCCTGAGGTCCGCTGGACCGGTCTCTCTCGGTATCTAGACGAATATAGTGAGGATGACCATGAAAAATGGAACTCAGTCGAATATGGCAGATTTTCAACCATCGTGGATAGCCCCAGCTTGAATATAGCCTACTTTTGGGACGTCCCTGGACGAGTCATCATTGAACCAACGTCAACTGTTCGGTCACAACCAATGGATAACAATATCAATCATGCTCCTTCTCCGGAATGGGGGATTGACCTCAAGATTGACGGCGGTACAATAAATTACGGACCGTGGGCTGATAGGGAGCGGGTTGGCCTGCAGAATGTCTTTTTCCCAAACTTCTACCGCAGCGCTGAGCCGACAGAGCAACTAGCCCCTGGTGTTCTGCGACAAAGCACGGCATTTAGGCTGCGCGTGGAGATTAACAAGGAATTGACATTACGAATTCCTACACGAGAGCCTTCGAAGGATTGGCAATGGAAGGGTCGTGCTGATGCCGTTGGGGGTGCATCGAGAGCAAAAAAGCCAAATGACCAGAAGAAAGCTCGGGCTAAAGAAGGCGAAAAAGGCTACCTTGGCCCTGAAATTCGCCCGTTTGGGTGGCTTTCCCTTTGTGTTGCCGCCGACTCTACCATCAATTATACCATGGATATGGTGGGATCAAGCGCAGGGTTTCGCAATGAACTTTCTATAGACTTGCGTGAGTCAAGACTATCGTCCAGTATCAATCATGGCTTGCTCTGGCAATGTCCTCGGCAACAGGTCACTTGCGATCTGTCCAACCCACTCTCCTGGAATAGTCTTCGCTCCTGGAAATTTACTGCCGAAAGCCAGGACCTACAGCTGTTTCTCCTACGTGATCATATCTTCCTTCTCACAGATCTTGTAAGTGACTGGGCTTCGGGACCGCCTTCGGACTACTATGCATTCGTCCCTTTTATCTACAATCTCGATCTCAATTTCTCCGACTTCCAACTTTACCTCAATGTCAACGACCGAAACATCATCAGCAATCCTTCGGATCTAGAGGACAACCGATTCATTGTCATCAAAGGCAAGCGTCTGACGTCGAATGTCATGATACCATTGAACAAATACCAACCTGAACAGAATGCCATTGAGTTCAGGGTCAATCTTGAAGATGGTGGCGTGGACTACACAACTCCTCTATGGGATACCTTGCATGAATTTTTGCCACAGAAATCCATGGCCACTCTCGACAATTTGTTCATTGACGGCTCCTATAACTATTTCCAATCAACATCCCCGGAACTGACTGACACGCTGGTGCTCAACATCGATGGAACTTCACCTCGCTTATACCTTTTTGGATTCTTAATCAAGAGTTTCATGACAATCAGAGAGAACTATTTTGGCGAGGAGATGCACTTCAAAACCCTTGAAGAATATCAGGAGCTGGTCTATGCCGACGAGCCACCGTCAAATCCCACAGGCATTAACCCAAACCGGAGGTCAAATGACATGGATGTGCTTGTGCGCGTCACGGTTGACAGGCCCCGTGCTTTACTTCCTGTGAATATCTATGATCACTCAAAATGCATGGGACTTAGCGCAGCCTCACTGGAAGCGGATTTGCGCTTCACCAACTACTATATGGACTTGCAATTCTCCATCGCTCCGCTGAAAATTGATTTGGAGACCACCCAGCTGGATGGCCCTTCCACTATCTCTAGCGCTCAGCTGTTCATCGATGGAATCTCGGTTTACGGCCATCGTCTATTTGGTTTGCCTCCGCTTGAACCAACCTACGTTTGTAATTGGGATTTTGAAATTGGTAGAATTGTCGGAGAATGCTCCACCGAGTTCTTGGCCTGTTTGGCTTCATCTTTGAAGACCTTTGATTTCTCGTTTGACAACGAGGAAAATGCGCTGCCAATGCTGTTCCCGGAGATTCTATTTGACGTGACTTTCTTGAGAGCCAAGATTGACTCTATTCATGTCTCTGTGCTACTGGATCGAACAGCTCTGATTTTGAGCACACGGCCCTTAAATGTGAACTTCAACGACTGGGCAAACACTAAGTTTTCGAAACGTATGAGCCTTCTCGTTCCAGATATCTCGATCGCTGCCGTTGATCGTCAGTGTGTCTCTCGATACAACCCATCGGCGGGAGAAATGATCACCCCGATTGGCCTTTTCCAACTCACAATAGGGCTGAAGATGGCTTTGCGTAAATCGGATATTGGCGAAAGTCGACGACTTCAGCAAGAGCATATTAAAATACATGATCAGCGGACTCACGGGGCACAGTGGTTACTTTTCGACTGGGAGGAGACTGGCCCAACTTCAACGCTTCCTGCCGAAGACGACGTGTTCCCTCCAACCATCGCCATACCTTCAATGCCTGAACCTATTGATGGTAGGATGGACTCTGTTGATGGATTGTCATATCAGGGAGCTTCAAGGCCCCGTACCACTAGAAGCGCCAAGAGCTTCCTTGTCCAGTCAGAAGCATCAAGCATGAAGAGTGTTCGGATACACCCTGCCAACAACCCCAGAGCAGCCTCGGATCCAAAAACCAAATCACGACCTTTTCTGCCCACCAGAGGATCGAGTCCGTCTGTCCCAAGAACAGACCGGTCGAGAGATGGATCAAACTTCGGGCCTCGGGCAGGCGCATTTTCGTCTTCTGTGTCAAGGGACGCAAACCCGTGGATAATGCCACATTTCTCGTACTGCAAGCTCCATCTGGATACATCCGAGCTTCCATTGCCATTTACGGATGAAGATAATACAATGGGTGAAGACTCTCCGATGAACCCAAAGTCCGTGTTCCTCACATTTGATGATGATCAAACGAAATACACAAATCTGGCGTGCGATCTCCCGCTTGGTATCCGAGGATTTTGTACTCCGAAGTTCCTTCTAAGTCTAGCTACATTACTAGACGGGTTGGAACCAAAGCATCCTACACGAATCATTGACTCGCTTCAAAAGGATGTTATATCGAACATCGTTGGCTATGACAACGCCATGAGTCAGCCAAAAATTTCAACAGCTGTTGCTCTTCGTGTTCCCTCCATTCAGTTACGACTAGTTGACTTGTCTGAGGCCCCCAACAACAAACAGATCGAGTTCCGAGATGAATACAGCATCGAGGTCCGTCGTCTGCATACTGAGTTCCGGAGAAAGGTTCAACGTCGGAAAGGCGATCTGCTTGAAGGTCTCAAACAAGATATGACGGTTCATGCGGCAGCGGACCACGTCTCAATTTCTATCGAGGGTAGTCGAGCAGATTCTTTCCACGAAAAAGCCGTCTTCAACTCTCATATAGATGATATGAATTTTTGGCTTGTGACCTCGCCCAATGTTCGCTCTAATCTTCAGATGCGCACATTCAATACAGTGACATCAGCGAAGTCTGTGGAGCGTCTTGCATTTCTCGTTCGTCGAGCGACAACCATGTTTGATTCTGTCGCGTCATCCTTTCAACAGCTTTTAACGTCCAGCGAGAAGCGCCTACAGTACCTCCTGTACTCCCTCACGCAATCGGCCACTGATATACCAGATCCAATCTTCCTTGCCCGCATATCTTACGTACTCAGGGTTTCTTCGAATCACCTGCGGCAGCATGACTCATGGAAAATCATATCTCGCATTCGCAAGATTTATAAAGGTCTACCTGCTCATCACAAGCGCGAGTTAGAGCAGGAATGCTTGTGTGACAATTTCCCTCTACCAGCGAATGCTAAAAAGGCTGTATTATCCGGCTTTGACCATTGGCGAGCTTGGGACCTCGCACATGTTGCCAAAAGCTATGCCATGCGCCGCGTCTGGCCGCACGCTGCTGAACAGCAGACTTCCCAGGTTTCGATGTTCCTATCCTCCACAGTCCAAACATTCCGATTCTCCATGGATCCTGGTCCAAGAGAAAGCGACTTGATCATAGGAAATCTGTCCACTGTTGCATCAGTTGCCTCAAAGTCGCCTGAAGGTGAAGAGGGTCGGAGCAAGAAACTCATCACCTTGCAGTCTTATTGCGGATCGACAGCCCTGAGGCTGCGCTGGGAAATTCTGGACCTTGTTGAAGGCGTGATCAAGGTCATGTCGAATATCACACTTGAATCCTCACCGGGTCACGCCCCCAGTGACAAGGAGAAGACACCAACTGAGCTGCAGTTCGTGTTCGGCACTGATTTTGGTTCCATCACTCTTGATGGTATCAATGTTAAGCTTGCTTTGATAGCGAAAGCTCTTCGGGGATCGATCGTTCACAAGTCGCTTGGTGCCAAAAAATTCAGAACACGAAGACCTCGCTGTATTGTTTACCGCTGAAGGATGCTCATCTGAGCTTCAAAATCAATCCATGACTCTGATGTTGTCAAGAATCGCTGACCCATATATGTACCTTTCGCTTGGATCAGAGGAAGATGGCAACGAGTGCAGACACGATTGGAAGCTCGCTGCATCGTGCAGGAAGCTTCGTTATGATATGAAAGAAGACCCTGTCAGCTTGGCACACACAGTAGACAGACTTATCGCGGACGAAGTCAGATACATCCGGCAGCTTATGGATAGTGTCAAAGTACCAAAACTGGAATCAGGACAGAGCCTCGCACCGAACAAACCCACCCGTGACACCTTCCATGTGGCAATGTTCTTAGAAGACTATCGGTTGACGTTTAGCCTCCTGCCATCTTTGGCCTACCGTGTGTCAGGCGAGGTCGCTCGCATGTCAGTGATGCCCGCAGAGGCATCCAAAATCGAGATTGACTTTGATGTGAAGAAGAACTCGCACATGTTCATATCGGGCGAAGGCGACAGATTCAATGTCTTGTCAATGCTAGAAATACCTCCCGTAAACGGGCGAATCCTTGCTAACCTCTCATCGGAGCGCAAGGAAGTGGAGGTTGATGTCACGATTGAACTCATTCGCCTAGAGGCTAGTGCTGTGCGCAGTCTCCTTGCTGTTTTGACAGGACCTGATATTTCCCATTTGATCTGTGATCTGAAGCAGAATTTAGATGTTCTCCAGTTACATTTGAAGGATGTGCTGTCGCTACAAAAGGTATCCCCAACCCCCAAACCAACATCTGGTGGACAGGAGATCCTCTACAAATCCCGTCTTACAATGGCTGGATTCGAGATTCATGCCATTGCACCTGGCCTCAATAGCAAAGACTATTCTGCAGAGATGATCTTTAGTCTTGGGATGATGCGTATGCGACTCCAAAACGGACTGGACCGGGGATACTCCATGGAGCATCCCGAGTTCAATATCGATGCCTCTCAAATCAGGTTTGAGCTACAAAGACAAGAAAAGGCTGGCAGTCAATCATATGGCGGGTTCTCTGCCGGAGTGAAGCTTCAGGGAACCTCCGCGGTCCGTGAAAATGGGGAGATCACCAGAGCATATCATTTCACCAGCGAGAGGTTCGATATCGAACTTTTCGCTGAGACGGCTGCTCTCGTGGTCGACATTGCCGTTTACACACAAGAGCGCATCAAGACTCTAGACCTTTCCCACGAAGTCAAGCGTCTTCGGAAATTGAGACATGGTGGCAACATCGATACAAAGGACAGAACCACCGCTGCCCCCGAAATCCATGTCAACGACGATTCCACTCCGGAAACTTTCCTCAATGCTCTTTACTCTTTACAATTCCAGACCATTCAAATCGCTTGGAACATGGCAACAATGCACACCAAATCTGGACGACAGCCCGAGGACTTGGTATTTTCTATCCAGCAAGTCGAACTGTCTAACAAGAAGAAGAACGCAGCCAAACTTCGAATTGAAAACATGCAACTCCAGATGGTGCCATTCGGAGCGGACAGAGGAAAGCGCTCTCTCAATTCAGCTCTTATGCCAGAGCTAGTCTTCAACGTGGCATACTCCTCCAAAGGAAAGGAAGTGTGGCTTGCTTTCCAAGCAGCTGGCAAATCTCTTGACATACGCGCTACATCAGAGTTTATTATTCCGGCTAGTATGATACAAGACTCAATTGCTACTGCAAGCGAGGCGCTTCGTGAAGGCAAAGCTGTCTGGGCAACCAGAGCCGAATCCCCCGAAAACACCGATACCAACAAAAATAGCAGCCTTTTCGGCAACAGGCGATTGCGGTCTCTCCTCGTCGATGTTGACTTTGCGGGCGCTACTGTCACGCTTCAAGGCAAACTTGGCCATGATCACCAGACATTGTTAGCGGCCACATGGAAGGGTAGCCGACTCTCCGACGCAAAATATGGCCAATATGTCCAAGGCGATGCTGCAACCACAGCAACCCTCCGAGCACCGGGAGTGGCGCTCAAAGTCCAATTCGAGGACAACGGTGCCGATGATCCCGCGCTGAATGCGGAGTTGAAGGTCGACCCCTCGACGAATACATTGTACCCAACTCTTGTTCCTCTCGTCAAGCAAATGACCGCCACAGTCAAGGAGATCATGGGTAACCAGCAGGGCCAGTCGCGAAGACCATCTGCTGCAGCGAAGTTACAGTCCCAGAAACTAATGCAGGAAAAGCCATTTGATGCCGCCGATCCAACTAGCATCCTCGGCCGGTGCAGGGTAAATCTGGGACTGCTGTTTTGCAAACAGGAGTTTAGCTTAAGCTGCCAGCCTATTGCAAGAGTCGCAGCTACTGCAAGGTTTGAGAGTGTCTATGTGACTGTTAACACGGTCCTATCAGAAGAGCAGGGCCGGTTCCTTGCTCTCTCTTTGGCTTTCAATAGCCTGGAAGCATCTGTAAAGCATGTGTACTCCAATGAATCCACCGCAAGCTTTGAGGTCAAGTCCATGGTGCTGTCCTTGATGAACAGCAAGCACCTTGGCCGAATGAATGGAATGTCAGCTATTTTGCGCGTCAGTCCAATGAAGGTCGCAGTCAATGCCAAACAAGTTCAAGACTCTTTGCTCTTCAAAGAGATCTGGCTTCCATCCGACAATGAAACCAACTCGGGTGAGACCGTCCAGCCAGAACCGTCCGAAACGCAAACCTATATCGTGCAGCGATACCAACAGGTTGCGTCGGCATCCGCATTCCCCTGGAACACTACCATCGCGATTGAGAAGGTCGAAATTCAACTCGATTTAGGCTCGACCCTGGGCAAGGCACAGTTTGCCATTGTTGATCTGTGGGTGTCTACCAGCAAGACGTCTGACAGTGAACAGAACATGTGTATCAATTTCGGTTCAATTGCGATTGAGAGTAAAGGCCGCATGAGTGGAATTGCCGAACTTGGAAATCTGAAAATCCACACCTCCATCGAATGGCCTGAAGACTCCCGTGGGACGGGACACACACCGTTGATTCAAGCCACGATTGCATTCCACCACCTCCAAGCCAAGGTGTCATTCGACTACCAACCTTTCCTTGTTGCACAGATCGCCAGGTTCAACTTCTTGATGTACAATGTCCGCAACACATCCGGCGCGCAGAGCCAGCGCCTTTTCAGTATCCTAGAAGGCGACAAACTTCAGCTATTCTGCACATCTCTAACGGCATCACAAACATTGGCGCTGTTCCAGGCATGGCAACGTTTGATCCAAGACGTCCAAGCAGCCTACAAAGCATCACTACGCGAGGTAGAGCGGTACCTCCGTCGGAAGTCTTCTGTCCTCACCGAGCGTCTCGATGTCAGCGTCAAGGATCTAGCTAAGAAAGACGAAGACCAACCCGAAAAAGCACCCATCTCTCTACATACTGGAGTCGTCGTGAAGATCCGGCACGTCAACCTAGGAGCTTTCCCCAGCTCATTCTTCGACAACCAAATCTTCAAGGTAGAAGCCTACGACGCCGAAGCCCGCTTCGCCGTCTCGCTTGAAGCCAACAAAATCCACAGCGCCCTAGGCCTGACACTAGGCCAGCTTCGCGTAGCCCTATCCGGCATAACCCGACCCACATCCGCGCAACTCGACGAGCTCTCAGTCGACGAGATCGCGGAGCGAGCTGCCGCATCCCGCGGCGGGACAATCCTCAAAGTGCCACGACTGGTCGCGAGCATGGAAACCTGGCAGGCACCAGGAACCCACCAGATCGACTACATATTCCGCAGCACATTCGAAGGCAAAGTTGACGTCGGCTGGAACTACTCGCGCATCAGTTTCATCCGCGATATGTGGGAGGCGCACTCACGGGCGCTTGCGTCACGACTCGGTAAGCCATTGCCGCCGTCTGCGGTCCGCATCACTGGTGGACCGGGTAGTGGTGGTGAAGGGGGCGGTGCTAGCCCTGAGCAGCAGGAGAAGATTACGGCGGTTGTCAATGTGCCTCAGTCCAGGTATACCTATACTGCGCTTGAGCCACCGGTTATTGAGACGCCGCAGCTTCGGGATATGGGTGAGGCTACCCCGCCGTTGGAGTGGATTGGGTTGCAGCGTGATAAGCTGCCTAATGTGACGCACCAGATCATTATTGTTACGCTGTTGGAGATTGCTAAGGAGGTGGAGGATGCTTATGGCAAGATTCTAGGGTCCTGATCTTTCTCTTTTGGAGATGCTCCTTGGATGCTTTTGATTCATCTGGACTTTCCTGTGCCTTTATTGTTACTTTTTTTGTTTTATTGCCTGATACCAATGTTGCTTTTGTACATTATAACATCATATCATTAATGATAGACATACTATTCTTTCGACTCGATATTGAATCTGGGATAGAAGATCAACACAGTAGGATTGCTAACTACGAATCCATCAGTTGAGCAAAAAGAGATGAACTTGGGATTGCAATATGTTCTCTGAAGACAATAAAAAACTAACTACCTTTTATAAAACCGCCATATCTATCATCTAAAATCGCAAAACTAACCATGTTAATGCATCCTCTTTCCAATCAAAGAGATTCGTCAAAATCGTAGGCCAAGAACCAGTTTACAGGCCAAATTGAGCGCGCAGAGACCCAGCGAAGCGCGAGATAGCCTCGTCAATCTTCTCTGACGAAGCAGCAGCGAAGGTCGCACGGAAGAACATCTTCTTCTCGGCAATATCGTGGTCTGGCTTGAACCAGCTGCCACGAGAGACGAGGACACCTGCATTCACGGCGGACAGGAAGATCTCTTCTTCAATAGCCGCGTGAGTCTTGCCAGCGGCAACGCCGGGGTGCTTGTGCCAGTCGATTTCCATCCAGTGCTGGTTAATAAATTAGTATTTTTCCAGGACGACAAGTGAACGAAATAGAATAGAAAGGGGGAGGGGGATAAGAAAGACAGGATAAAACTTACGAACATGCCAGCCGCGGGGGCTTCCCAGTGAGCGATTCCGCGGGGCAGGTGCTTCTCACAGGCGTGAACGAGCGAGTCACGACGAGCAGTGTACGACATGCGCAAGTTGATCAGCCAATCCAAGTACCCGGCGTGACCCCAGTGCTCATCGAGAAGTTTGAAGAGCGCGAGCTGGGAAATACCGCTAGGGTTTTGCGAGGAGACCTCAAAGGTACGGGTGAAGCGCTCGATGATCTGCTCGGAGGCAACAATCCAGCCAACCCGAGAGCCGGGTGAGATAACCTTAGAGAAGGACTCGAGGCGAACGACACGGCCATCAGTATCCATGCTCAGGAACGAGGGGACAAGTGACTTGATGAACTCCTCGTGAGTGGATGGTGGGGGCACGGGCGAGGCGTCTCCGCTTGTATAGGGTTGCATCTGCAGGAAGTAATAGGGTTCGTCCTCGACGATGATGAGATCGTGCTTCTGGGCGACCTTGTACACGGCTTGGCGACGTTCCGCGGACTGAGTGGCACCAGTCGGGTTCTGGCCTGTTGGAATGGTGTACAGCACGTAAGGCTTGCGTGCACCCCGGGCTGCGACATCCCAGTTGCTGAGGATTTCGTCCATTCCCTCTGGGATGAGACCTTGCTCGTCCATTGGGATGCCCACCGCCTTTATGCCCAAGGGAAGGGCAGTCTCGACGGCACTGGCGAAGGTATATTCCTCCATGAGGATATAGTCTCCGCGCTCACAGAACACGCGGAGAGCAGTGTCCCAGGCATAAGTGCTGCCAGCGGTCAGGGTGCATTGCCAGTCAGAGTAGGGAGGGTTGTGAATGATCTAATTTAGTTAGTCTCTGCCAAGAAACGAGATGACTAGTGTTTTATACTCACTTCGGTGTGCTCCGTGACAAAACGAAGCAATGGCGCAGCTCCAGTAGCTTGTCCGTAGTTAAGGGCAATCTCCAAGTCTAGGAATTGGATCAGTCATATCCATTTTCAATGCACAAGGAGAATAGGGACTCACCGTAGGTACTAGTTCCTTCTTGGATATCATGCTTCCCAGCATGAAGAACCGTGCCTGACTCCCGAGTAGCCTCCGGAGAGAATCCGGGGGCAGTGGGGACTTTGATATCCAAGTGCTCAATAGGGAAGTATTCAGCCGAGGGAAGTCCACCGCCGAGGGAAATAAGACCTAGGAAACACAATTAGCCCATGAATTTTTTTTTTTTTTTAAAAAAATGTGTTCCGAGGTATTACCTGGGTTCTTCAGGTAACGAGCGGCACCCTTCAAAGTGGACGCCTAAGGAGCGGATTAGCAAAAGTGGACATCGCATTGCGCAATTGAGTGCGAACCTTGCGAGACTTGGCTTCAAGTGAAAAATGGTCTGAGATCGAATGCAAGTCAGCATAAGTTGGTATAGTTGTGAAAATGTATAGATCCGGAAAGGACAAAGGTAGACATACGCTCAAATTGCTTAGCCTTGGGCTTGGTATAGCAGATCTAATGCGCCCAGATAGTATCAGCATTCTGCATTCTGCAATTGACCATGTTATTTGGCCCATATCCTCGCAATGCCTATGCACAATCTAAAAGTATCATACCGGGCTCTTAAACATATCACTGTTGGATGCTGCAGCGACGCCGGTGGGCACCTTAGCCGTCTTCTGTCTCCATGCAGACACGCCATTGACGGCTAGGGGCTCCGGGATAGGGACAGCCGAGGTATCGGTGACGCCCACCAGGTTGACATCTAGGGCTGCGGGTGGACTCATATTGGGTAGCAGTGTAAATGTGGAATGCGGGATCGGAGGATGCGGAACCGGAGGGGTATGCGGGGAGGTATACGGAGCGGCGGTTGGTATATGAAATTGGAGGGAGTATGGTATATGATATTGATGGTAGGATTGGCCTGGTGTGTGTGCAACCAGAGCAGGTTATATATAAGAAAGAAACAGGAGAAATCCCCAAGGTGTTACAGAGAGTGGTTCGGCGAAAGCGGAGCGGAACTTGACTTCTCTCCATTCCGAGAACTTTCTCCGAACCACATGACTCATATTACAAGATAAAGGTGTAAGGGTCCACTTTTGATAAGCTTTTCGACAGTTTTGGGGTCAATGGCGATAGGTGCATAGATACATATGTAGTATACGGAGTAGTGTATGTCTTTAATTGTATGCACGAGCATGTCAAAGGGCGCGGGGTACTTTTCCATGTGTTTTGTCGGTGAGGGACATCCAATTAGAGAGGTATGTACCACTTCTCTTTTATTAATTTATGATAAGGATCTAGAGTATATTTAGAATATCAGGCGTAATTATAGCTATTATGGCCAAAGATAACCTCTTTGTTAAATACTTGCGTGTGAACTTGAGGCCGGAGGGTTACTACCTACGCTAGACCCTAAATGATTTGGGAGCCCTATATACTTGTCGTACAGAGTACTTTTGTTTTTACTCTATTAATTACTTGGTGAATTATGTGTATTCAAAAAAAAAAACACAAATAAAAAAAAAAAAAAAAGCAAATAGGTGACAGGTTATATATTTAGGCTGTGTATCCACATACATTCAATATTGACCACGCAGACATGGAAGATAGTTGAGAATGTGTAGACGTATATTTCTATGTTCTCACGCACTTTCCACATATTTCCCTGTAGTCCCGTCAAGTTGCGCTTCCAAAACCGCCGCCTTTCCACTCAGGACACTCTGAATAGCTTCTGGAAGCTTTTGGGCGAGCTCAGCAACAGTCGAGGCGCGGCCAGCCCACAACTCACCACCCGCTGCGGCCTTAGCAATACCAGCATAATCCGGGGTAGGTGCAAAGGATATGTTGAGGTCTTCGTTCGTAGCACGGGAGCCGTCCCCTTCAGGGTGAACGAGCAGCATGCTTCGTCGGGGAGCATTCCAGCCCTTATTGTTCAGCACGATTGTCAAAACGGGGATTCCATAGCGGCGGGCGATCCAGTACACAGATCCAGGTACCGAGAAGAGGAATGTGCCATCACCAACAACCTGACAGACAAATTTTCCCTTTCCACGTCCTCCATGTAGCATGTCACTAGCGAGCTTGATACCAAGTGCACCACCACCAGACCAGCCGAGGCCGCCACCTCCACAGTTAATCCACGACTTAGGTTCGGTAGCTGAGACTTGATCCGCAACAAAGTGTGTCATGGTAACAGACTCAATAGCCCAGATGGTATCAAGTGGAACACCCTGGCGGACCTGCGCCATGAGATAGTTGATATTCAAGGAGGCTCCGCTGCCGCCATCCGGGAGCACGGCCAGATCAGATATCTCTTGTCGGCGCTTCGAATACTCCTCATCTCGGCGTTGTCCCATAGTGATGTTTTCCTCAGAGCCAATGAATTGCTGTAGAGACTCCTGAGAAGCAACATAATCGTTGATTTGCTTGAGCGCGGTCGAAGCGTCGGCACGGAACGTAGCCATCGAGTGAATGTAGAAAACTGGAATCTGCTGCTTCAAAGGGTCGACATCGATATGGATAATCTTGGCTGATGCAGACGGCTTGAACTGGGTAGGCACCCAAGGGACATCACAGTCTACCACAAGGATTAGATCGGATGTTCCCACCGCCTCATGACCTGGATATCTCAATCCCAACCATCCAGGGTGGTTAGCAGGAAAGCACATGTCACTACCACCTGTGTCCAGCACACGGATTCCCTTGAAACTATCTGCCAATGCGACAAGCTCGCTCACAGCCTGGGATTTCCTCCCAGAATATCCAGCAATGATAAGAGGGCTCTTCGCAGCCGCAAGCTCAGATGCGATCAACTCAACACCGGAGGTTGGCAAGGCAGACGGTGCCACAGGTCCCCAAACAGCCTGGTTTAGCTGATAGGGCTCAATATCCTCCTCCATGACCTCTCGCGCCCCAGTGAGGTACACAGGCCCTTGCGGGTCACTAGTTGCAAATTGCAAAGCCCGGTTGACAATCTGCTTAACATTCTTACCGGACTTGATCTCACCAGTATATCGACAGTACTGGGAGACAATTTGCTTCTGATCTGGCACGTCTTGGATCCAGTGAATATATTCCGTGCGTGACCCTCGCATCTCGCCCTCGATCGTGTAAGGCGATAGACCAGCGAAGATTAAGACTGGGGCGCGCCCGCATGAGGCGTTGTGAACTGCTGCTCCAAGTCCCTGTGTGCCGACATCGACATGGACGATTACTGCTTGTGGCTTTCCGGTCAATCGGGCGTAGCCGTCGGCCATGGAAAGTGCCACCATCTAGTAACACATT